GTCCCTGCCTATATCAGGTGGGTTGAAACTAGACGACTTGAGAAGTACCTGTGCCAAAAAATATTTGGAGACTAAGAAAGTACATTAATAGAGTATGTCTTCATTGTCAGAATCAGCATAAATCATAGAATCACTGGATTCTTAGAGTTGGAATGGACCTCTGAAAGCTGTCTAGTCCAAATCCCCTGCAATGAACGGGGACATCACAGAGAAGTCAGGTTGCCCAGGGCCTGCTCCAGCCTCATCCTGAAAGTCTCCAGGGACAGGGCATCCACCACATCACTGGGCATCCTGTTCCAGTGCCTAACCATCTGCACTGCTAAAGATTTTTTTTCCTTATTTCTAAGGGATATTAAGGAGCCTTTCACTGGATTGATCTTCACCTTTCATTGTACAGCTTTCTTTGGATTTTACATTCATCTTTATTCATGCCATGTGTGCTCAACAGGTGAGTAAAGACAGCAGCCTATCCATAAACACGTTGAAGAAAAGCAGACAGATGATCAGGCATCTGTATACTCAGGCCCTCGGAGAATAATAAACAAATGATGTTTTCACTGTTTGTTTCCATGCTGTGATGAAACCAAATGTACCTCTGAATTCCTTTTGGTGTCATTTAGATAAAAATAAAAGGACAGATATATTTGCATAAAATGGAAACAAAGAGAAGTTTTAAAAGGGATCAATATTTTATTTTTCTTACTCTAAATGAAATCAGTGCAGGAGTTCCTAATGCATAGTAGCATTTTTTCCCTTAAGAAATACAATGTATCTCAGCAGCAGCACAGGTACTTTGTTACCGTTGCTATGCCCTTTCTCCCTGTACGTTTTTCTCTTACAGTAAGCACTCAGGACATCATAAACTGAACCATTTGACATCTCTGTAGCTCATTTGTTTCCATTTTCTTCCCAAAAGATTTAGGCTTTTTTTTTTTTTTTTTTTTTTTTTTTTTTTTTTTTAATATAAAAATTGGTGTTTTCAACTTAAAAAAAACAATAATAATAAAATTCTTTCTATCCAATACATCAATTTTATTTTGCAGTGGAGTATCACAGCTAATACCCTAAACATTAACTCACAACAGAAATAAGCAGTTGAGCTGATTCTTCTGTTACTTTTGAAAAATAAATGATTCTTTATATATGTCCTCATGAATATATCAAGTTGTGAAGAGCTGAATATGAAATAGTCAGATGCTTTTTTAAAAAATACTTTTGGAACTTTAGTTTTCACCTCAGCAGTGTTTCCTTTCTCTTTAGAAATTTGTTTTTCAAATCTATTTTTGTGCAGTTGGACATTCCCTTAGATATTTTAGTGCAATTGCTCATCTTTTTCCAATAACAACTTCTCAATTCTCAGTTACTGAAGTCTGAGTTTAAAAGTCAGTGAATTCTAATACTGCAAGAGTCATGGAACAAATTATACAAATAACATAAAATCACTTTAATTTCCTAAGTTTGGGCATCTTGGACAGGCCCTGAAATTGTTAACATTCAGCATATTCTAAGAGAAAAATTGAAAAAAAAGTGATTAACACATTAACAGTAAAAAGAAAACAGGAATACATATGTATTTTCTGAATTACAATAACATACATAAAATGCGTTAACCAAAAATATGTTCATATTAATAATTCATATTAATTGGTATTAATTATACATGTTTACATGAGTATACAAGTACTAAATAAGTGTGTCATCATCACTTTGTTATATAGAATTCTATGTGCCTTTGTCAAAAACCCAGTAGGTAACGTGTTGTTTTTGTCTAGTGGAAGGTGTGAAATGAACATTGCTAACTCAGTGCAAGATGAACTGTTTGGAAAGTTTAAAATATTTGATTCTTCTCATTTTATTTTTGTTTTCATAGCAAACTTAGTAAAACAAAAGATGTTCCGTAAAACAAAACACTGAAACCAGTATGACAGAAGATGACAAATAGCCATGTTAACTATTTTTGTAAGGCAATTTAAGGAATCTTATGTAATGAAGTAATAGGGATTTCAAACACCAATAATTTCAGATTTCCCATGAAGATATTTGATGTTCCCCACTACAAAAATTTCAACCATTATTACTATTAAATCCACTATTACTGAAGTGAGTATGACCAAATTCCATCTATTCAGATGGAATTTACAATTTACATCAATGGTTAGGAGAAACAAAAAAAAAAAAAAACTATGGAGCATTTATCATATATATAAATGTAAAGTACAATTTATCTGAGACCGCAGTTACACAAGTGACATCAGTTTCTGGAAAAAAAGTCTTTAAACATCAAATTATATTAGCAAGGTTTTTTTTTTTTTTTTTTTTTTTTTTTTTTTTTTTTTTTTTTTTAATATTGTAGTTTCAGGAGACAAAAACAACAGGGAACTATTAATTTTAAGTGTATATTTCAAATTTTTCAGTGTAGATATATTTAAATATCAGTAGATTTCAGGTACAAACAGAAAAAACAGAGAACATTGCTGTTTAGTTGACTCAAAGACCTCTTCTTTTCCCCTTAAGGTCATCATATTGATTCTGGCAAAAAAACCCTGTAAATATGAAATCCTCCAGTCAATAAGCTTAATACCGACCTAAAAAAGTCAATATATGCTTACTAGCAGCAAAATAGTCACAGAATTTAGCTCAGGATACTCTGTTTTGTATAATCCTCTCTGTTAAAAGCAGACGGGTGTCTGCGTCTTTATGTTTTGAAGGAGTGAAAATATTCTTTGCTGGGAAAAAAAAGAAATAAACATTTTCAAAACTTCAAAACTGTCAATGGTCTTTATTGGTATGTACTTTTCTGCGTTAATATGAGATTAATAATAGCATTCCAACAAAGTTGGATGCTTTAAACAACTTCCCTTACGGAAGCAGTCACACAGAAACCTTAATCCAAAACAGAGTATTTCAAAACTAAGGAAGAAAAAAAAAAGAATCACTCACTGAAGTGTGTGTAAAAAGGCTCTAATCTTGCTCATGGTAACTCAGGCAATATTAACCACTTCCTGTCAGTTCTCCTTTCAAAGTTAAAAATACATATGTGAAGACATACATAGAATGCACTTCCAAGTCCTGTTAAGACAACATAACATAAAAATGCAACAAAAGTATATTTAGATATCCTAAGATTGTAGAAAAAGATTTGTTGCTGAGAGTCAGAAAAAAATAAAGGATGATTGATGGTAGTATTTTCTTCTGCAGAAATAATTGATGCAGTCTTAAAAATTTTCTCTTTGCATTAAAATATTATTCCAAATGGAAAATATTTGCTTTAAGACTTCAACTTTTTCTCTAGGAACATTCTTTTTCCTTCAATAGACATTTTACCAGATGCCATCAGTTTAGTTCAATGCTCAGTCTTCCCAATTTCTCTTTAAAATCATTCAGAAATTGAGGAGGATGAGCAAAAAGGATAGCAAAGTTACTGAAGTTACAAAAAAAATCTGAACCTGTGTTTACTAAATACAGGTATCAGTGTATGCTGTCAACGTAGTTTAAATTTTTGAGTATCACTATTTTACCACATTATAGTGTCAAAACACATTTCTCTCAATTCATTGTTTTATACATGTTCAGCCAAATAATGTCTTGTCTTGGATATGGTCCGTACTTTTCCATGCTTCAATTAACAAGCTGCGTATTTGGAAATATATGTCATGAAAGCTGATGTGTAATTTTCCCTTTAGTCCTGACAGAAAGAATGAAATACACTGTGATTCTAGAGCTTATAAAGTTCAGATGCTCAACCATATGAGTAGTACAGCATATTAATTGATGTTAAAACTTATTTACTCATAATTGTCTCTCATTGAAGGTTAATTTCTCTTAGTAAGCATGTACCAACTCTTTGTAGTCAATAATCCATTGAATGTTGCTAAGCAGTAGTAATACAAACAAGTGGGAAAAACATCTAAAATGAGGGGATAATGAGGGCCAAATTCAATTTGAAAACTGTGCATTCAGTGAAATAGGTTTTGTTTTTTTTTTTCATATCAGTATTAGCAGAACAAAAACAGCCTTTACATACTCAGAAAGAGAACTTGCACATTTACCATGTGACTACTGATTTCAAATATCTTTGTTTTAGTCTTTAAACTGAAGAATTTCTGTATTATTTTCAGAAATAGGGAAATAGTCTCCAGGGTATTAAATTGAGAACTGAAAATCTAGTATAGCTATCAAAAGCAAACAAAGACAAAAAGATACACATGAAAGAATACCTCAATCTGTGTATCTCATATCTTTTATTACACAGTGAGTTGAATCTACTCAATATATATGCTAATTATCTCAAGTTGCAGTACATGTGTCAATGCACAGATATAAAAATATTGATGTCCTTAATTAGGTTATATAAATCCTGGCCTGTATATTCTCAGAAAGAATTACAAAACATTTGAGGTAGAAACATGCTTTTGGAGATCATCCAGTCCTACCACTCTACTCAAAGCAAGGAGAATTTGAGCAGGTTCCTCAGAGATATGTTCAGTCACATTATGAAAATCTACAGAGATGGAACTTCCAAGTCTCTCTGAGCATTCTGCTACTCTGCTTGATTGCCTGCACAGAAAAAAAAAAAAAGCTGGACTTTCGTTTATTTATTTGCTTGTTCATTGCTCTTTTCCCCTTCACTGTATCCCATAAAGACTCTATCTCCCTTACTCATTCCCATCATATATATATATATATATATATATATATATATATATCAGATATTAATAGAGATAAATATCAGGGAGACCTCTTTAAGTCCTCTCTTCTTCAGACTTAAGAGTCTCAGCTCTCTCAGGCTTTCCTTACATGATATATTTTTTGGTCCTTCACTATGCTTTCTCCAGTATGTCTATGTCTTCCTTGTATTGGAGAGCACAGAACTGGACCCAGCACTCCAGAGTTATTTTACTTGAAGGATTATTTTCAACGACCTGCTGACAATGACCTGAGACAGCTGTAGAATACTGGGGTTTTTGTTGTTGGTGGTGGGTTTTTTTCTTCTTCTTCTGGTGAGGGCACATTGCTAGCTCCTGTTCCATTTATGATCCATGAGAAATTCCAAGTCCTTTTCTGAAAAAAACTGCTTTCTAGGCAAATGAGCACCATCCTGTTCTAAAATATGAAGTTACCGAACACTCCAAAAGTATGGCATTTGCTTTCCTAAATGATGGCATAAACATTAACCAGAAGCTACCATGTTTGTGTATAGTTTTTATGCGTTGTTTTTTTTTTCTTAATTACCATAAAATTTGAGCTGTGACATAATGCTTTAATTAGAAGTAATTTTAAATCCAAAATGCATTAATATAATTATTTGTTATGGTATTAGCATTTATTTTAAAAATGATTATATTTTAAAATGAATTGCAGTTTGGGGCCTTTTTTGGCTTTGATTTTATTTACTGATAGAATTTACTACATCCTTAGCAGTAATAGAAAAAGAGTCTATGTGCCAAAGCTGTGTTCACAAGGAAGATAAAATAATATTCTCTGTACAATCAATGAATATATAGATGATATAGCACATCCAAGAGCTTGGCTGATGCAATTATTGCACTAGAGTAGGAAAGAAGGACACTCACCCTATCCTGGACTCACACAGTAAACTCCAGCACAGTGAATCTCCAGAAGAGATCCTTCCCCACATATCTCTTAAATGGGTCTAGGGGAGGTGGAGTCAGGCTCCACCCCTTTATGCAGCCCAGGTGAATTGCCTTTGCTTGTGCTCCCATGGCTGGCTCATTGCTCGCTTCAGGTGATTAATCAGAGGTTCAGGCTGTGATTCAGCAGCCCCATACAGTTCTCACTATATGAACATTCTACCAAAACAACTAATTTTACTTTCCTGGTGCTTAATTCTGTAAACGCATAAGGAAAAATGGCATTAACTTCCTTTTCTTCTCCTTGCACAGAGGATTTTACACACACGCACTAGATTTTAAAGGGTGAATCTAAATCTTCCAGAAAGGATAAGAACAGTTTCAGAAGAGTTCCACTTTCTTCTTTTCTTTCAGATGCTAGTAAAGTAGACAATAAAAGAATTCTGAATGAGATATTTCAGTGAGATATCTAATTCCTTGCTCCATTGTAAGGTCAATTCAAAATACTAATACTATCCTTGACAATCTAGTAATTCCAACAGTGGTATAGTTTATGCAGTTAGAATTTCTTTCCCAGTGTGCTAGCAGAATTATGAGGCAAGCAAGATTAGAATAGATGTGGAATCCTAGTGGCACTTCTACAGTTATGAAAATCTAAGTAAAATTAATTTAGTATGAGGAAGAGCTTTCTGTAGTTCCGTTCTGGCACTGAATAATAAAATTTAATCAAACACTAATCAAGTAACAGCCCTGCAGGATGCTATTTTAAAATACATATATATTTTCCTTAAAAGAGTGTATTTTTCTTTTTCAGATCTATGCAGTACTATCACAGTTACTTTTTAAATAAAGTTTGTCTTCTTTCCACTGGTAATTCCTTGAGAGAATAAGACTTGCCAGAAAGGTTGATCTGATAACAGAAAACATCATCAGTTACTGAGTTTGCAGAACTCTCATTTCAAAAGGAGAAAAAGCCCACATGCAATCCCTCTATTGAAGTTTGAATTAAAATTAGGAAGTAAAATTATAGGGATACAGTAATTTTTGCTATCTTTCACTTCTTAGGTCCTGTTTCACATGGAGAACAGTGAAACTTTATATGCTGAATTTCTATTTATTTTCTACGAACACTTAATACAAATTGAATAAGTATATCAGTATTTAAATTATTTTAATATCTTTCCCAGTAAAAAAAAAAAAAAAAAAAAAAAAAAAAAAAAAAAAAAAAAAGGACAAGTAATATGTTTTGGAGGCAGTTAGCGGACTTCTAATAAAATGCATATTTGAAATACATATTTATCCTGAAAGAATTAATACAGAGTTCTGTACAGTCTGAGGGAAGAAATTTCTATGGATTTAGATAGGATAAAAGAGAAGATTATAAAAAGCAATATAAATTAAAAAACATAGTAACGTGTTATAGTAGGCAAAACTGTATTTGTAATAACTGATGTTTCTAGAGAGTTGATCAATATAATCTAAGACTGAATATTTCAAATGTAACACACAGACTTTATTGTAATAAACCTGCTCATATGTCTTTTGACATTTTGCCTCTCTCACATTCAGTGTGCTATTTAAAAGTTCCAATTAAATAATGATCATTTTTTACTATAAACCAAGTATAACATATTAGAACCTACCACTTAAGACATATCCTGATTTTCCATGTCTACAATATAAAAGCAATAAACTGTACAAAGCATAATGTTTTTATGCTACACAAGTGTTCTTGCTCCTAGAGACTTCACAGAATTGTAGGGGTTGGAAGGGACCTCCAGAGATCGTCGAGTCCAACCCCCCTGCCAAAGCAGGTTCCCTACAGCAGGTAAAGTATATTATGTTCCTAATGCTTGATTCATTTATTCAGTGTAGGAAATTAACGTATCATCAAATGGTTCTAAATGGTTCTAAATTTTGGTATGCATATTAATGTATCTATTTTACCTTATTCATTGATATGGAAGGAAAGAAAACTACTAATGGGCAAAAACAGTAGAATTCTATGCAAGAGAAACTGGAGAAGTGGATCATTGGAAGACTGGTTTTAGCTCAGATATAGCAAAACATTTTCCAAAACAAATACTATTTTCTTTAAACTCTCAATAAAATGATAAAGAGAAAGAAGTTAATAGATTGACTCACTATTTGTGCTCTACACTCTGAATGAAATTCTGTAGCTCACAAATTTGTCATACGAAAATAAAGTGGTAAATATAGGTCACTTCTTAGCTCCCATACATTTTAAAAATGTTTTTTACATGTAGCTTGGAAGAAAATCATGATATGTTCTCAGTAAAAAAAAAGAAGCTAAGTTAAACTAGGAGGTGATGAAATGTCTACACTTTCAGCTGTATCTGAAATGACATAAACAACTTCAGCTACAAATAGAGCCAGGGACATATGTTTATAGTTAAGAAATAACTTTATTAGAGTTAATGGGAGTAAAATTGATCTTCTGAATAGTCATAATGGCCACTAGAAATCTAGATAATTTAGTTACGAGAATTTCCAAAAGCATATGTACTTTAAAATCATAGTGATATTACTGCATCGGGATATACACAATAGATTACTGCAGGAATGTTACAGCATTAATTTAATAGGCATGACCTGTTCTATGTAATTGATCACATGGATTATTCATACTGTATGATAAATTTGAGATAACTTGACATCTTTACAGTTCATTCTATTGTGTATATTTCAGGCTTAGACTAAGCGTACAGGTACTTATTGCAGAGGAGCCAAAATGAATTAGCTTACTAGATCTGACAACCTGATTGCTTGTCTATAACCTGTTTACAGGTTCTGAGAAGATCTTTTAAAAGTCTAAGTCAGGTACACACATAATAACTTTATTCAGTGACAGAACTGGTTAGGACTGTTTGTAATGGATTTTGTAATACCAATAGACTTCCATTTTTATTTCATAATCGTAAAATACTCTAAGGCAACATTAACATTAGAGAGAATCCCACTGAAGAGTTAGATCATTTGAAGATAAAAGCTAAAATTCACAAAGGCACATAGGTGCTTGAGGGCATGACTACACATGAGCAAAGAGTCAGCTGGCCAGATGAAAAGTAGCTCTGGTATTGAAGTTATGTATGTGTATTTACACAGTGGTGTGCCAGAATTCATCAGTTCTTATGAGCAAAGAACACAGAAGTAAAACTTGGCAATACGAGTTAATGCTATACCTATGTTTTTATGTAGCCATTTCTGCTTAAATAGAGTGTATTTGATAATAAAGATCAAAATAAAGGACAATTACTATTTCAGACGTATTTGTGCTGTATCAACTTACAGTATTAACTGAAATACTAAAGAGAATTACAGAGGAGAGAATTACATTCAAAATATTCTTCTCATTAGAAAAATTAATAGGGGAGCTTAGCTGCATGGATGGAAGGTATAGCATTTAGAGAAAGCTGACAGAGTTTCTGAAAGAGAGCATGTCTGTAGTAAATATTTCTAAAGCATCAATGGACTGCCTGAATTCTCAGATAAATGTAATATGAGCTCTCTCTCAAAATAACTCTGGACAACAGCTTAAAAATTTTCATCAGAAAATCTTACACAGTGTTGTGTTGGTGTATTGTATACACTACATTTCAAAAATGTAATTTTATTGTATTTATTTTAATTTCTGTCAAGGTGGAATATTACAAATTATTTTAAACTAAAAAAGTGATTTTTCATAATAGATTTATCATGTTTTCTAATTTTAAATTACTTCTCATTTACTGACATTTTAAAACATAATTAAAATGGACATGTGACTGTTTATTAAACAAGGTGAATTTTCCAATTAAAATTGTGTTGAAACATTCCCACTGACTTCCAGATTAAAATTTAGGAATATAAGGTCTGTTAATAAGATTACAATCAAATTTACTAACCAGAAATATAAGCCATAAAATGATAGAAAAAAACTGTATCTCCCTTCCCCCTAAATCCTTTCCTGTTTATGAAATGCTCATAAAACACATTAGTACTGATAAGTAAAATCTTTTTCATTCCAAGAATTGAAAGGATCATACTAAGATAAAGTTTTTATTTTTAATTAGCATACAAATTTAAATATTTTATAACTTTAGCAGCTAGAAGATAAATACAAAAACTCACTACCGAAAATGGATACTAATAAGATGCAGTTAACACTGTTCAGTTGTTGGAATGACTTTGCAGAAAATTCCATCTGCTAAATAGCCAAATTATTTGTGCACTGTTTATCCACCTCTGAAATACATTGTTGTGTCTCTCTGTCCTGTGTAACATCCCAAGTGGGTTTCTCTGGGCTCAGGCTTAACTGGATTTAGTTATATGGTACTTATTTATTTATTAATTCATAAGACTCGTAACAAGGTGTGTACTCCAAGTCAATTTAGGATAATACAATGACTAATGAATATAGGACAAGACTCTCAGAGATTTCAGCTGCGTTGTAACTAAAACACTACTAGGACTTGAATTTTCAAAGTGAGAGAACTAATTTAATAGCTCAATTCTAAGGATCTTTCAGTAAATTTGTTTCACTTGTAACTAGGAAACTATCCAAGCATTTCCGAATTAATTCTTATTGTGTTTTCAGAGTGTATTATCATTTTAGCACTGAAAAATGACCTACATAACTTTGGAAGTACATGTGGTCAGGCAGTATATTTACCTATGTTGGAGATTTGGGGGCATGCAACCTGTTTTTATGTAGGCTCTGTAACGCTGCAAGTACTGCACCATTAAAGGTAAAGTCTTACTTTTAGTTATCCCTAGTGTGATGTGTATTCTTATATTCCAGCTCTCTACACACTGAAGAGATTTATTTCATTGACCCAAATTTGGCCTTCATACTTCAAAGTCTTCAGTCCTTTAATACAGTGAGAAACTATTTTATACAGAGAGAGAGAAAAAAGGAAAAGTGACAGAATAAAAAAGAACTAGAATCACTGACTTAACTCAGAAGGCTTAACTTCATTGAGGAATGGAATAGAAAATGGTTTTGTTCTGACTTTCC